TAAGGAAGAAGAAAAAAAAAAAAAAAACTTTTCAAGAAGCAGGGAATTTGCCTTCCCTGAACCAGATCATTTCTGGATCAGCCTCTCATGGGCCACATCGCAGTGTGGAGGGGGAGATGGAGCCTCTTCCAGCATAGCTGGGCAGTGGAGGTCTACTAAGCGGGGTCTGTGGGAGGTACTGCCTGCTGAGGCCAGTGTATATTTGAAATCAGGCCACAGTCGCCTTCAGCACTGGGTTTTTGTTTCTATTGTAAAAACAGGTCAAGAGGCTGGTGAAGTTTCTCATCTGTGGGTGCATTCAAGAAAACTGATATTTTTTTTATAGTGCTTAGGCTGTAAATGAGATTTTAAAAGTTATTAAAACAGAATAGTGACCTGTCCTCTTTAAAATACTTCTGCTTCCTTACTTCAATAGAGTAAACATTCTTTCTCAAAAGACTATGTTAAGAAATGGTCTTTGATTCTAAACTTCACAGATCTGTGTCTGACAGGTTCCCATCCTCTGTAAAATTCTGAGAAACATTTAACTAAAGATGTCAGCCAAAACACAGAACATTATTAATGACATGAAGACTCAAGGAAGACCCAGGCTAGCCTGCACAGCATCCTGCACTTGAGTAGATATTCTTGATGTGACTGAGATGGGCTAGCCTGCACAGCATCCCGCACTTGAGTAGATATTCTCGATGTGACTGAGATGGGCTAGCCTGCACAGCATCCCGCACTTGAGTAGATATTCTCGATGTGACTGAGATGGGCTAGCCTGCACAGCATCCCGCACTTGAGTAGATATTCTCGATGTGACTGAGATGGGCTAGCCTGCACAGCATCCCGCACTTGAGTAGATATTCTCGATGTGACTGAGATGGGCTAGCCTGCACAGCATCCCGCACTTGAGTAGATATTCTCGATGTGACTGAGATGGGCTAGCCTGCACAGCATCCCGCACTTGAGTAGATATTCTCGATGTGACTGAGATGGGCTAGCCTGCACAGCATCCCGCACTTGAGTAGATATTCTCGATGTGACTGAGATGGTTGAGGTTTCCAGATAAGTACCCCACACACAGCTAATGCTCACTACACAAGTGTTGTTCCCTTCCATTGTTTGCTTTTGTTTGTTTTAAGACAGGCTCTCTTGCAGTTCCAAGCTGACCTCTGACTACTGTGTAGCTAGAGATGACCTTGAACTCCTGATCCTCCTGTTTCTATTCTCGATGTGACTGAGATGGGCTAGCCTGCACAGCATCCCGCACTTGAGTAGATATTCTCGATGTGACTGAGATGGGCTAGCCTGCACAGCATCCCGCACTTGAGTAGATATTCTCGATGTGACTGAGATGGGCTAGCCTGCACAGCATCCCGCACTTGAGTAGATATTCTCGATGTGACTGAGATGGGCTAGCCTGCACAGCATCCCGCACTTGAGTAGATATTCTCGATGTGACTGAGATGGGCTAGCCTGCACAGCATCCCGCACTTGAGTAGATATTCTCGATGTGACTGAGATGGGCTAGCCTGCACAGCATCCTGCACTTGAGTAGACATTCTCGATGTGACTGAGATGGTTGAGGTTTCCAGATAAGTACCCCACACACAGCTAATGCTCACTACACAAGTGTTGTTCCCTTCCATTGTTTGCTTTTGTTTGTTTTAAGACAGGCTCTCTTGCAGTTCCAAGCTGACCTCTGACTACTGTGTAGCTAGAGATGACCTTGAACTCCTGATCCTCCTGTTTCTATCTCTAGAATGCTGGGATTATGGGCTTGGGTCTCCACAGTCGGTTTTATATGTGCACCGGAGACCAAACCTAGAGCTTCACTCTTGCTGGGCCAGTACTCTACCACCTGAGCCACCCCCAGCCCTGCTTTGTGTTGTATAGGCTAATTATCCAGAGACAATAGAGTTGCCTGATAATTGTCTGCTTCCTAGTACTGATGGTATGATAGATTTGGGGGAAAGTGTGACACTCAAGACCACTTTAAGAGATGATCTTAGCCACCTACCTGGATGTAGACTACAAAGAAAGGTCCCACCCAGTGTCACTGTGGTGGGCAACGCTAAGGAGAGTAGGAAGACCAAGAGGCAGGCATCTAATTGAGCTGTGTGTCAACCTGCTGGGAAATGGCCACCAGGGCTGAGTACACCCTGGGATGAAGTTGTACTCATGTTTAGCTGCAAGGCCAGGAAGGATTGTTTCCCAGGAAATTCCGCCCAGCATTGCACTCAGTTCGGGGAGGGAAAGTCAGTGGTCCAGGAGGAAAGCCAAGCTTAGCACAGTGTGGCCCGTTCAGTGTTCATGTCTTATGTTAAATTCTAACATGAGCGTTTGTTAAGCACACTTCCCTTACAAGCAGGCGACACGCGGTTCGTGGCCATTTGCATTTCAGATAATCAGACATTTCTTGTGCTTTTGGGGTCACTGTGGGATCCTCTGTGGGGTACGTGGGGCATGACCATGACAGGCATCCATCTCCAACCTTCCGTGCTCCTAGGCAGTGAGGCTTGCCAGACTGGAGCAGCAGACTCGGGAGTCTGGTAGAAACATATCCCAGTTCAGCCTCCCCAGCAATCAGGAGTCTGACCTCCAGATGTGAACTCAGACTCCTCCTCCTGGGCTCTCGAGACTATATGAATGAGGTGTTTCCACTCACTTCCTCTTCTCGTCTTTAGGTATTTTAATGAAATGTCTGCACAAGGATTAAGACCTCGCACTGTGTCCAGCCCCATCCCTTACACGCCTTCTCCGAGTTCAAGCAGGCCTATATCACCAGGTGAGTTTCTCCTCAGCCACTTCAGTGACTGGTTTCCAGCATATTCAACTTGATTTTTTTTAAAGTATTTTATTTTTATTTTATGTGTATGAGTGTGTTGCCTGCATGTAAGTGAGTGCACCCATGTCGTGCAGTGCCGTGGAGGTCAGAAGAGGGCTTCGGATTCCCCTGGAACTGGAGTTAAGGATGGTTCGTAGCCGTCATGTGGGTGCTGGGAATCAAACCCAGGTCCTCTGCAGGAGCAGTCAGTGCTCTTAACCGCTGAGCCAGGTCTCCAGCCCCTGCATGTTCACCTTGTATGTAAGCACACTGGGGATGGAATCCAAGGCTTCACACGTTGCTTGGCGTTGATTTATAGCCCTGCCTCTTCTGATAGTTTATTTAGCAATCCTGATCCTTTCTATCTTGTGAACTAGTAATGGTCACTTGTTTTTCAAAAACAAGTTGCCATCATTACTGAGTGTTAGCCTGAACATCTTAAACACAAGGGCCAACTGCTGTTTTACTTCAAAACTTTTAACCTTAAATGTGAATCGGAACACTTTTCTTTCTTTCTTTTTGCTTTTTGTTTTGAGACAGGGTCTCCCTGTAGCCCCAGGGGCCTGGAACTCCTTATTTGACCAGGCTGGACTCCATCTCACAGAGATCTACCCACCTCTGCCCCCAGAGTTCTAGGATTAAAGACATGGGCTACCACAGCTGGCCAGAACACCTTTCTAGAAAGAAGACTGTGTGTGTGCGCGTGTGTTTAGTCTCGGTGGATGACTGGGATCCCCAGGTGGATTTCCAAGATGCCTTGCTACACATCTTTTATGGGTTCCTTCACTGCATTCCCAGAACATTAATCTCATTTTTACCGCCTTCTACACTCCAATGGTATATGAGCTGGGCCTGCCCTCGTAGGATAGCCCTGCAAACAGGAAGCAGCTAATGTCCTGCTCTCCAAGGCCCTGCCCTCCATGGCGTGCTTGTCTTCATCTGACCCCCCAACCACTCCCCAGAGCACCAGCACTGTGAGGTGCTAGCATGGAGACCAAATACTTGATCCATCCACAAGGATGAGGAAGCAATCAGCAGAAGGGGCGGAGTCCTGCATACTGTGGGCGAAGTGCAGAGACCTCTGTTCTCTCTTTTTTTTTTCTTTTGTCTTTTTGAGACAGGCCTGTAGCCCCAGCTGGCCTGGAACTCACTATGTAGACCAGGCTGGCCTTGAACTCACAGAGATCCACCTGCCTCTGCCTCCCAAGTGCTAGGACTATAGGCGTGTGCCGACATGCCCTCTGTTGGATGAACAAGCTTCAGGCACAGCTGGGGAACAAGTCTGCGGGAGCTGGCAGCGACTCGGAGGAATTCCAGGTAGAGCACAGTGAGGTGGCTGCCTTGGGTGGTTGTGCAAAGGCTTCATTAAGACAGTAGTGTTTCGTTTGTCTGATGTCATAATTAAAGCAGGGACTTCCCTTACAGTCCCTGAAGGGAAAAAGCTGCCTTACAATCAGGAAAGTGCCACAGTAGCAGCAGGTCGGTTGCCCTGTGAGTTTGCTTCAGTGGCTTTTTCTTTTCTTTTTTGTAAGGAGATAATCAAAACTAAC